TCGCGTGGGCGAAAGCGGCGCCAACCGCCCAATCTACGCTCAGCACTGCCGCCATGAGGGTCACGCTGGTGCTGGCAATGCATCTTGCAGCGCATGCGACTCTTTCACAGGGTGCGGTTGTATCCTATTGGGGGCAGAGGCCCGCTGCTCGCCGTACAGCAACGTCCATGTGGAACATTTGTTCTTTGCGGCTGACGACATTCAGTGTTGGATGTGATATATTTGTGCGCCAAGCGGAATTCCGATACCTGCCCCGTCCTCTCCCAATGAATTACAAAAGAAATCTCAAAATTCTACAGCATTATTCAGGGAGAAAGTCAAACTCTCCCGGACGCCATATCATCCAAGACCGACAGAGAACATTGCCGCATGTGCAGCACGGTTTACACGGATGCGACGACCCAGATACCAGCTTTTCCGTGGGCTGCTGCAGAGATGCCCACTACCTCGAACTTAAGCAACAAGAGGCTCCCAATGCCATAGATATGGAAAGACAACCCACATATTGATAGGAGGGCGAGGCCCACTTCAGTCTCGCAACATTGCTAAGAAATATTCAAGTTTGCTGGGACGCCTGGTCTTCCAAAACCGGTAGGTAACACTGCGGAACTAGCAGCACGGTTTCCATTGATGCAGCCACCCAGATGCCCATCATTCCGTGCGCTGCAGCAACGCTGCCCCCGACCTCAATCGCATCCAGGACAGGGATGAGGGGGTAGAGCGAGACCCATGCCACGAGGCTCGCCACTGCACCCAGGCCATCCAGTGCAGCGGCCGCCGCGGCGAGATTTCTGACAGTTTCTGCCTGGGACAGGACACCTTCCACTGCACAAAGTTTTCTGCGACGCCAAAAGAAAGTGCTTGTAAAGTCTTCCTAATCACCAAGGTGTCGATTGGCCACTACGGTTCTGTTTCTTTGTGGATGTGCTGACTTTGTGGTGAATGGTGCTCCCGAATTCGGCTGTATCGCGCTCTTTCTTTTTCACGGTACTATGCTGCTGTATGTGTACAGGGAGATATGACTTACATGGCACAAATAGCTTACATGCAAGGTGGAGATGGTGAAAGTGAATGGCAAAACATGCCCAGGCGCCCTACGCAGTATTTCGTATTTGAAGTAGAGATTATCGTGTAAGCCATCCTTTACAATATGTCTCCTGTCCCTTGGTGCGGCCGTGGGTGACAGTGAACCATGCACTGACCAGCAACAATAAAAATGGAAACTGCAATGCAACATTTTCGATGTGCCAATAGGGCATTGATATCCTCCAACTTGTAGAACATCCCTTAAAAGTATTGAAGCATGATGTGGCTATTTGATCTACACAGGCACCATTGGCAGGCTGCATGAAAAGGAATTATGCACAGAAATTCCACTTCCCAAGTCTGGAACAAAGAAAACAACGGTAGAGAAGTGATGCAGAGGGTGGCAAATAACATTGCATGCAACATTTTAAAATGCGACACTGCTGTGCGACCTTGCTTTCACATCACACACTTGGCAACAGGCTTGGTTTTTCGTGTGCAAATCCGCAAATACACATTGTGTTTACACCGTAAATGGTATTCGGGTTTTTACGCATAACAACGTGTAAAGTACGTAAATACAGGACTTCAGGGAATCTGGGGAGTGGCAGCCAGACGGGCTGGAGTGGGCAGAAAATGACCTTGTGTTCGACGATGTTATTGTCCCTGCTGAGGGCGAGGTGGATGCTGTGATGCAGGTTCTCGAAGGGGCGGGGGACTGATTATTATCGGCGGCTTCATCGTGTAATCTGGGCGTGGCGACAAGCCATGAAAATGTGCAAGTCCAACCGCAAAAGCGGGCGTTTCTCTGTTTACGTGTTTTCATGCCTAGAAAGGTAAATGTAATAATGGTGCTGTAAACGCAAAGACCAAGCCTGTTTGGCAAACACGCCCTGCAGCAATGCACTGAACAAAATGCTCCATCTTGTCCCACAGGAGAAGCACTGGGTTAACAGAAAATTCACCTTGAAGGGTGGACTGCGTCAACAGCATGAAATGGCCATATGAACCAAAAATTCTTGCTGGTAGAATGAGAGGACAGAGTCACTTCGTGTTTTGACAACATAAAGAACACCAACTGCCTCCAGCACACTGTTGCCAACTCTTCATCAGCAAACGCACCCCGACATGTACACAAGGGATGCCACGATCCCCAGCAGGCTGGCTGCTGTTATTGGGAAGAGACAAGGTGGCAAACCGTGGGCCACCACCAGTTGCACGATCAGAATAAGCAAGGACCCTGCCAGCCAGGCCAACACCAGCGGCCGTGCTTTTGTCCACAAGGATTGCGCCTTGCCCAACATGGCAGCGTGCAGCAGCATGTCCTGCGTGCGAATTGTATGACTGGCACCATTTGCACCTGCACGATCAGAGAAATGGACAGCGTTGTAATGTATTTCATGTTCCCCACAGAACATGGGATCCTGGACACAGCACAACCCCCGTTGATCACAACTGCATATTGCCCTTCTGAGCCATTGAATGGAAACAAAGTACAAGCAATATGTATTACATTCAGTTTTCAAAGTCTCGGCAAATGCAGTTTGCTGTTTGTTTCAGTCAGTATGTATCTGCAATTGTAAATGTGCTGCCTTGGACATGGCAGTCGTCTGTATGCTGAATTCATCATACAGGACTACAGTGCATTGCAGCTGCAATGCGGTTATGCACCGGCCTGCACTTGCATTTCGTTGCAAGACAAGCCCTTGGACTTGGAAACTCTTGGCAATCTTCCAGAGTACACAAGACAGCTTCCCAAAACTGTTGCTCTGGAAATGTGTGCCACCTGCATGGAATGCTTGTGTTTGTTGGTGATGATGCAACTTTCACAGGCACAGTTAAAAGCTGCCCCACGTGCTTCACTTGGCCCCTAGCACTCAGGGAGCTGCATGGGGCCAACTCCAGCAGGCCAACACTGGCGATCAAGGAAGACTGCAGCTAAGAGATGTACAGGGATGAGTGGTGCTGGAAACTCAACGGAGAAGATCTTGAGCAGATTACCTGGCAGTTCGAAAGGCTGCCCCTATGCCCACTTGTCCATTCATGACAGCACAATTGGGGATTGGAAGGCCCCAGTGACGATGCCAGATGGGCCAATATGTGGAGTCCCTGTTTCCACAGGGTCGAGTCTGATCGGGGTTGGCAAGCAGGACAGCCGAATGCTGCCAGAGAGTGTGGATCGCAACTCGGATCTGCCGCCTTTGCAGAGGCGTCCAGTCAAGCCCAGCCCACTGTCATTCAAGAAAATACGGCAAAACCAGGACGTCCGTGGGAACCCGGGCACTCTGCAGTCTGCTCACCCCTGCGTGCCACACCGCCCATCCGAAATGTGGCCGTAGTTTGCAGCGGACGCCCGGGTGCGATTCCCACCAATTCCCAGGCGAAACCCAGTTTCTCCAGCCACAAACGCGGGGCCCGGGTGGGCAGACCATCAGGTCTTCCCAAGAACGGGAGGGACCGGCACGGCTCTCAACCGTCTCGCCATCACGCAAAGGACCATTGACTGGCGAAGGAACGGGGCGTCAGGAAGTGGCCAAGCCTCCCACCTTGGGGGGGTCCGCGTTGGTTTGGCAACAGCGGCACCACAGCATGAAGGCCCTCCTCCTGCGAACACTCGTCCATGTTATCCGTTCAGTCTCCAGCGTCTCCCTCGGGAGGGGGCGGGAGCGACCTGGGGAGGGAGAAAACCTGCGTTCCAGGGCACGCGGGCGGAAGCTACAAGGGATGCGGGATGGCTGTTGTACTTTGTTCAAGTTGAGCGCTGCTACAAAGTGATAAAATACTGCCAGAGTTGCATTAGGAAAAGAGAATCAACGGTGCGGCGCCTTGCACGCGTAACCCGATAGCTTCCACCCCATTCTGCGCCACCCAGCCATTCGGAATCCACGCACGCTCAGCGACCTCGACCCCGATCATGCGGCCAGGCGCCGCGCTGCCCAGTCTTAACGCCTTCCTTATTCCGTTTCTCCATCATCGCCATGATGGGCCATGCACCACGCGCACCAAGAGGTTGTGAGGGAGATCGGAATTCCCATCATGAAGATTTTCAAGTGCGCTCCACGATTTTACTTGCTGCCAATTGCCTGCACCAAGTTTACCAGATTCCACTCGTTTTGTACATGACACGGTGCCCGATCACATTTTTACATACATGGTACACGATTTTCGAGACATTGTAGTTTGGTCGATTTTGACTAGTGTCACGAGCCCTCCAAACTTCTGTTACAGCCCAAAATCCCTGCATCCTCGCAGCCCCGCGGCTCTCCATTTGAGCGCTCAAATGGAATGGGGAGAAGTGCCAACTTCTGATGGTTTCTTTCGTTGCGCCGTTACGCTAGGTTCGGGATGGGATGATGTTGCAGGCAGGCACGGCCAGGGGTTCTTACCTTCCTAAGAAGGCGACGCAGCTAAGGCAACTGAGTTATAACTCAGTAATTACTGAGCGATGTTCAAAGGGGCATGTCACTTTATACCCATCCACCAATCATCACCGTCATAACACCGTGGTGAGCTGGTCAATACACATTGTGCAGCTGATTGGATGCTCAACATTTCAAACCGGCTTACAAGTCTCCATAGCGTTGATTCACGCACTCGCCTGCTCTTGCTTGGGACAATACGAATTGGAGACGCAGTCAGTTGACTGTGTCTGCTTTTTGGCTCAAGGGCATTACTGGCTCTCAGGCAGCTGTCAGACATTCTGCTGGGTGTCCAATCCGATCGCATCTGTCACTAGCCAATGGGCGCGCGGCTGCACCACCGCGCTGCAGCTGTGCATTACGAAAAGTAAGTGTGTCCTTCCCGACAGCTGCCAGGTGCGTTACCATTGCATTATATAAACGTTTTCAGCCCAGTATCTCCACTTTAACCCTGCACTGCCCCGGTCCTCCAACGTCCAGCCACCCCCTTGGCGAACGGCACTCCTGTCCCAGGGCGTCGACATCCACTCCGAGTCCACGCGGCCGGTCGGCGAGATGGGGGAAAACCCCACGAGCGAGGTGGAACAGAAAGCGCCGTTGCTGGAAGACAAAGGTGTGTGTGTTGGTGGTGGTCGATTGGTTCCCGGTGTCCCGTCGACATCGTGATTCCCCACTGAATCCCTCCGCGTGGATGGCGTGTTGTGGCCCGGCGGTCTGGTGCAGCTCGCGTCTTGCTACCTTCAAGTATGACTTCGCGACCAAACGCGATGCCATGCGAGAGCTGTGGATCAGGGCCGTTGGCCGTTTTCCGTGACGCGAGCAGAAACATACCGGAGCAAACATCGGACCGCAGGTTTGGTGCTTTGTTTGTGCCCCGTCGAATCCTGCAAGGACGGGGGCACCTGCCCTATCCGGGTCGCTCGCTGCAGTCCGCTTTCGGATCAAAGGGCGATGGGGCCGAGAAGCAAGGTGACGGTTCATGGAAGCTGGGACAGCCGGCCATGGTCATTTGCCCAGTGGTGTTTTCAGGGTGCGCACTAACGGCGGAGCGAAGCGCGTGCATTCTGCTCTTAACGGGTTGCTAGCGTGTTGCCTTGAGGAGGGCAGCCCAGGCGCTGACGGTCCACCGCACAGGATCAATAGGTACTGATGCAAACATCAGCAAAGACGCACGTGTTGCCCAGAAGAACATTGCCTCCGCGACCTGCCGTTCCCCAGGGGACGTGTGGTGGCAGGCCTGCCGACGCTCGCAACCCAGCCCCACGCAAATGCTTTGGGCACCGTTTTCGCGTCCGCGGCTACGGGAACGGGTCAAGAAGGCGTGCGAAGTCCCAAGAACGAAAGACGGGGTTTGGGGTATGGCTCCAAGAGCCCGCCGGCAGCGCGAGTTCCAGCAGCGCGTTCGGTTTGCGCTTGGGCGTCTCGGTGCCGTCCCCAGTAACGCTTGTGCCACCCGTTTCTCGATCACTCCATCTTTCCTTGGAAAATCCTCGTTCTCCCCGCACGCAGTCGAATCCTGTATGAATGCATTTGCCAGAAGACAAAGCAAAAGCCCTCGCACGCAACTGGCGACGTCGGGCAATGGTCCCAAGCACGTGTTTTTGCTTACGGTGTTTGTTGTCACTACACGCAGGCCCACCAACCCGATCCACGGTGCTGATGCCGGCCGACCAGCACGCCGGTCTGTCCGGCGTGAGCCATATTGCGGCCGTGGGGGCGCTTCCCGGCCGCTCGCTGGCGTCCGGGTGGCTGCACGTCTCCATGCTGAGCTTCACGGCAGGCGCTGCCGTCATCGCCGTATGCCACAAAGCTCCACTGGGGATTGTGGCGGGCCTGTGCTGCGCCACCGCGAGCCTCGCGGGCGCCGTTGGAGCCTGTCTGTACTTGCACAGGTGCGTTCCGCTGCGCCCATTCGATTCCACCGATTCCAAGCGGGACTGATGCCCAAGGACAGAGAGGTCTGTGTCCGCTCGCGTTGTCCATTGAGGATGCATTTCACATGCAGGGCCTGGTGGGCGACAACGAAGATGGTGTAAAACGCTCTTGCATTGGAGCACGTTTTGCTTTGCTTGATCCTATGTGGCCCGTCGCCAGCCGCGCGGAAACTTTCGCACTCTCCGCGGCCATTTGCACGCGTCGACCAGGCCATCGCGCACACGCGCATGGGGCCTTGGCGCCACTGCATCAGGACGTCACGGGTTTGTAGCAACCTACCGTGCCTAACACATTCTGAGCAAGAAAACTTATTTAAGAGACAATGCCTTTGAGGACTCAACGAAAAGAACACTGTTGCGCTGGGTCGAGACGGAGGGCGATAGCATACAAAACGAGAGCATTCGCATCACTGTCGCTCAATAGTGGGCGTTGACTTCAAATAATGCGTGGGCATCAACATAACAGTTGACGTGGGCAGGCTTGTTATTTACGCCGTAAACACAGATTGTATTTACGTTTTCTTGCGTAAAAATAGTTTTACGATTTTGCGCGTAAAAATATGTGAAAGAAACGTAGATACAACGTAAAAACAGCCCCGCGTGCATAAGGACAGTACATACAGCCTTCGGGACTCCGGGTAATGGCATGTAGACGCAATGGAATGGGCAGAAAACGAATATTGTTCCACTCCATCGTGGCCCTTGCCGAGTGGGGAGTGGACGCTGTGTTGCGGGCGCTCAAGGGGGCGGAGTAATGATCACTGCAAAAACGTAAATGCAAGAACGTAAACGCAAACGTAAATAACAAGCCTGGATGTGGGGCGTGAACTGCAATTTAGCGTCCGCTCAGCGAGGGAGTACTGCCATTAACACGTTGTACTCTGCAACTGACCGACGCTCTGATCGCGTAAATGAAGTGCGAAGGAGTCAAGTCCTGTACCTCGTGGCCCTGTCCATTCGTCTGTATCTTGAGCAGAGCTGCAAACTACACAGATGTTTTCATGCCAGCATATTGTATAGGCATCGCAATCTTGCATGAATGTGAGCAAGGAAGGTAAACGCGCGTTGTAGTTTGACAGATTGTGCATCAGATGACATAACAGTCCACTGCCTATGAATCATTCTCATGGGATGAGCAGCGAGTGGTTACTAGTCACCTCAACTGAACCGAGCGCTGATGACGTTTCCAGATTCACTTTAGAAAATGAGAAACTGTGATTAACGGAATTCCGTTCTTTCGCGAAAGAACCATCTCTGGGAGCAGCGCCACCGCTGCGCTGGCTCTCAATATCCTGTCCCAAATTCCGACGCGCTGGTCATTAATGACATGCTGTGTAACAATACATACTGCATAATATTATGCAGTATATCTGCAAATGTAAATGTGCAGCAGGTGTATGGTAAAGGTTTCTATCGGTACGGTCAATGTCTATCCAGCTGACTAACTATTTGTGATCAAATTGATGCTCACAATGCATAACCGATGTATTCGCTCATGGTCTGGCCAGATGATGGCAACAATACATAAAATTCGAATTACGCGCTTACCGATCCTTTAATAACCGCTATCGCTTAGCTCCTTTGGGGCAGGTGTTCCTGAGGCGTAACTATCCATCACCCCAGCATAAAAAAGCCTGTTTGTGATGCCAATTGCGATGCCATTTGACACAAATTGATGCTATCGCAGCCGCTTTTATGCCATCGCAACCACTGTGACGGCATCATTTGTTGTCGAAATAGCATCGCAGCTGGCATCGCAAACAGGCCATTTTCTACCAGTGTCATTGCAAGTGGCTTTGCCTTTCCAGCTGCGCTGTAACGAGAAATATACATGGTAATTGGGGCTGAACTGTCGCACATTCTTGCAAGAATGTAAATATCGATTGAATCTGTGCTTGTGTCATTCTGGAGGTACCTGAGAGATGGCAGGGACTGCACCAGGCACGTGCGCGCCCTGGCTGTTGTGGCGGTAGCCTTCGCTGTCCTTTCTGTGGCCTTCAACATCACTTTAAGCGCGGCCACCCTGGCGTCCACATTCTGCGATTATTGGAATGGGTCCCTGGAGAAGTGCACCGCGGCCACCGTGGCATGTCAGGTGCGTAAACTTGCATCTCAGGAACATTCAAATCGGATCAATACTATGAATGTCACATTGATCATGCTTGTGGACGTCAACATGTGATGCCCAGGTGCGTCTGTTATTCATGTAGACTGGGGATTACTCTAAGTCTTTTGTCGTGCTGCAGGTGATGACTGTTGCCGCCACATCCCAAGGATTCTTCAGTTTTTGGATGTTCACCTGGCTGCCTGGCGTGCTGCGCAACGGAGAACCACACATTCGGGACCGCATATGATACGACTGCAAAGTGCCAATGGGATGCGAGGGATCCAAATGGGATCAATCAGCCAACGGTCTGAAATGATCTGGGATGGTTTGGATTTGTCTCGCAATTCGCACCCGATCTGAAGAGGGCATGTTGGTCGCTGCCTGATGAATTCGTGAGATTTGCGATGATTAAGGATGGGGAGTAAGGGTCCATAGAGCGAAGTGCGTGGATCCAAGGCATCAGGTGTGCTGTTTTGCGTAGTACGTTGCTGACATGGATGACATTGGCTGCTTGATGGTGTATGTTTGTGTGCAATATCTTGGTTTGCATCATTTCGTGACTTTCCATGTGATGTCATCAATGAAGCCGGTGATAGAGAGAGTAGATTACTTATGCCAGACCATACAACATGGGATTCTTGAAACAAAGAATGGCGATGGTGGTGATGATATTGCCGAAGCCGGTTAGATACCATGCCACAATGTTGGGTGCTTCGTGTCAATGGAGAAGCATTGACATGAAAATTGACATTTCTCTTGAGATTTTTCCACCAACGAGTATTGCAATTCAGGGCAATCGATGGGGTATACAGATCGGAAAAAAATCTGCATGGAATATCCGTGTATGAATTCCGGTGCGCATGGGGATGCTTAGTCCGAATTTTGGCGCCAGGGTACGTGAACCTATGGAGATCGATAGTTTGGAACTGGGGTTTGCGAGAAGAGGCTCTCCGTGTCGGGGCATTGAACTATTCTGCACACGCATATGCTGGAGCAATGAGATGCAGGCGAGTCGATATCTTCCCTGCTGAAGCCATGCCGGCGTGAAGATTTGTGTTCGACGCTCGGCAAAGATTTGATGTCCAATGCCTGTATGGTGTGCCCACGCCCGCACAGAGTGCTGGGAAATCCCTGCGATCATTCGTGCACGACCATGTTCAAATCGGTGTGTGCAGGCGATTTTTGTTATCTTCGAAGAGCACCTCTCAAGGTCGAGCTTGATAAAAGTTGCACAGATAAAACCACGGCAAAAATGCACCTATGTTCGAAGGCTGAAGCACATTAAGCGACATCAGCAGTAACGGCAAGCTGAACAGTCTCCTAAATCCTGTATCACGTCGCATGTCAGCAGGGAATCATTCTTATCGACCACGTTAAAGCACATCTGACATATATTCCGACCATAGAATCTGGGATAGCTGAGGCATCAGTACTTGGGGACGACCTTGGAACCAATGCCTCCATTTCTTCGGCAGGTCTCATTCATCAGCTTTCAATCAGAATTCAAATCAATACTCCCCAAGAATGATACACACTCCAATGGCGTTGGAATTATCAATGAAAACTTTCCATTTGCTACAGAGTGGGCATGTACAGAAGATGGCAAGGGATGTGCGGATTCTGTCAAATCAAATGCATTGTGAAGAAATCCTATCACTTGGGAAAAAAGGGCCAAACAACGCGTGTTCAAACGTGTTCAAAAAGTTTACGGGTTTGGGTTATTTTTGCATTGTTAGCGTGCAGAATATTGACAAACGCATTTCATATGTGCTCGCAAAAAGTGTTATTTGCCCCTTTTTTGCTAGTGCATGTAGGTGCCACCCAACAGCTTTCCAATCCGCGCGACCGCCACTAGAGGCCCAACTTCCTGCGATGTCGCCCAATTCCCACATCGCAGGGTGGCTGCGACGTCGCAGCCACACGGCCCGTGGTGTCGGTGGGGAAACTGGGAGACTTGCCAACGCCGCTGGCAGCCGCAGTGGCCCCTACCCCCCTATGCGATAAATCCCCACGACGCTCCTGTCGCCCCAACAACCTTCCAACTTCTCCCCGCGACGCCGCAGGGGCTGCAACGCGTATGCGCAACGTTGCAGGAGATTGGGCCTTTCTCTGTGGCGTCCGAAGCTCCAACAAAAAGTCAATTTCTGATCACTCCAGCGGGGTATACTCTCTTTATGTACACGGGTCGGTATTTACGTCTTTTTGCACGTTTTTCACGCATAAAAAATTCAACGCTATTTTAATGTTCGTTATAAATACATGTAAACGTACAGTGTTTACGCTGTAAAGATCAAGCATGCTTCCCCGATGGCCACATTTCCACCACCATACCTTCCGCATTTCACCACGTTCGGTTCGTTGACCAGGCTCGGCATTGGTCCGTCGGAGTCATCTGCGTAGGCAATGCAGAAAAACATCTTACCATTGCTTCAGCTGCAATGTTCAGACCGGTCCGTTGCAGAGTTCTGCACCGTCAAAATCCCCCTCCGCACATGCCCGGAACTTCCGGATCGTGGGTGTGGAGCAGGCAAGGCCAAAGCAGCGGCCCCTCCGCCGCAAGGAGCGTGCGCAGCCGGACATTGTTGTATCCCGGTTGGAAGCGATGGAAGCCCAGGTGGATGCTTTGAAAGCCAGGTTGGAAGCCCTGGTGGCAGCGGTGGACGCGATGGAAGCGGCGGCATGCCACTGCCAGCGTCCTTTGGAGGCGCAGCAGGCCAGCTGGAAGCGCGGGCGGCCATCGAAATCGCGCTCATCTGGCCAACCCTCTCCGCACGATGGCTCGGCGCCTGTCCCCGGGGCGCCGGGGCTGGGGGTCCTTGTGCGCGTCGTGGATGGAGGCGGAGCACCGGCCACGGTGGCGGAAGCAAAGGCACGCCCGGTGGCACCTGGGCGCGTCGATCCCGCTCCTCAGGTTCCCGTTGTATCGAAGGAGAAGGGCCGGCCACGACAGCAACGGGGAAGACAGCGGCAACGGAGGGACAACGGTGTGGAGGGCCACGCGGCGAGCGCCCCGCTGCTACTCAACCCGTGCTCCCTGGCGCCGAAGCACGACTTCGACCTCACCCGCGTATCGGACGACGGGGCGGTTCTGAGCCGCGGCGGGGAGCCCTACGTTCGACCCTTCGGCTGGCGGCGCCACGCGCTGGCCGTGGCCGCCAAACATTCCGACACCGCGTGGCTGGGCAGGGGCCGCTCGGCGTGGCCCGTGGGTTATCACGGTACCAGCCTGGGCGGGGCCCGGTCCATCGTTGCCCAGGGCTTTCGGATTGGAGACGGCAGGCGGTGCACGTACGGTCCCGGAGTGTACACCACGCCGGACGTGGAGCTCGCCGCGTCCTACGCACAGGTGTTTGAACACAGCCGCAGGCGGTTTCAGGTCGTCATTCAAACCCGCGTTAATCCGGCCGGCAGGAGGCGTGTGCGGAGGCCCTGTTCACGCAACCGCGGCCTCGTGGATGAGATATGGATCAGCCGAAGGGAGGGCGACGTGCGTGCGTATGGTGTCCTGGTGCGGGAGGTCTGATGGCGCGGCGGCTGCACAGGCTGGGGCACAGGGAGATGGCAGCCGGTTCAGAAGGGGCGTGCATCTCTCGCGGCTGCAGACATAACGCCGCGTTGAACGCCCTCGCTCCCCTGGGACTCGCCTGGGAGCTCATGCTCAAAGTGAGTACTCCATGCGGGTCAGCATGGGTAGGAATAGTGCAAACTGGGCGACTTCGTGTCTGACTGATTTGGTGGACAGCAGATACGAACAATTGTGTTGGCACCAATCCTGAGGAGACAGTCCTATTTTGGACCCCGGCAACGACAAGAAGTTCTGGGTTTGTGTTAGAGTTCCTTGGCCATCCAAGGTTCGAGATCTCACTTGTCGCAATCAATTGCGCGCAATGATGGGCCACAACAAAGCAAAGTCAAACATCTTTGGCTCGACCTCCGTGGCAACCTTGGTGCACGCAGTGCTCAAAAACACACACCGTGCTTGGTCGGCAACCAAGACTCAACTTGTCTTAAAACCAAACCAAGAGAAACCATGAGCAAGCCTTTGGCTTTCTTTAAATACCCGAGTATGCCTCTTTTTCCACACACAAGAACTCAAACTCATGACGGCGGATTGAACTCACACTTCTCTCTCACACACACACACACACACACACACACACAAAATAAACCACCCACAGCACCTACATATAACATCAACCTACGGCACCTCCCTCCGATCCAACTCGCAATACCAACTCATGATCACCAAAATTAGTAAAATTGAAGCTAATGTTTGGGCAGCCTTCCTCTTGCCATCTCAATTATTGTGAAAACACATGGGAGTCGAGAGAATTATGACCATTGGTCTTGGTTGGTTAGTCGTCTGTGGTATTAGACCCATTATTTGGATTCTTTGTGATCCCTAGATACTCGTAGGCTCTTTCTTTGTATAAATCCCCCAAGTATGGAGTAGTTTATGGCTTAGGGAAATCCCTATACTTTAGGGACAGGCCGTGGGGGCAGATTGGGTTGTGATGTATCGATAGTGGGTTCGATGTGTGGGTATGCTAGGCGATACAGTCGTGACGTACTGATGTACATTTTGTGGTGTTTGTGTGATGGACGGTCGAACCGGAATGTAGTCGACCACCAGTACATACACAGGGGTGCGTTGCTCCCTGTTTTATTACCCCGTTTGCCTCATTGCCTCATTCTGCACGTGTTGCGGCCCCGTCGGCAGCCCCTGGTTTCCGGAGGCGTTGGGGTCGCCCTGCCCTGCAGCTTGGCTATTGGAGGTTAACCGGCTCTCTCCACCTTGGATGGTAGGCGTATCCGGGGGCATTCACTCCTTTGGTCGCGTGGTGGGCCCAATGCTTGATGGAGATCGATCCCCGGGGCCTGCTGTCGGCGAGAGGTGGCGGCGCAGCGGTTAAACGGTTCACTGGCTCGCACAAGGCCAGAGAGTGGGCTAGAACAGTTACAACGATTCACTGCATGCGCGTACACAAATCGCATGTGCGTTGCCCGATCGTGGGTCTATCATGATCACATTAAAACAAGACAGGTCAAGTGCACGTCCAGGCACATTGTCACCGTCTACTGTTCACCTACGATCGATCCAATGTCCTCTAATTCCAAGCATCTCACACCCGACCCCCTGGCCCTAAGTACTATGACTTCAGAAGACCATATCTTTGTCAATTCTTAACGGAATCAGGCGTTCCAAAGTCCGTTGGAACCAAGAAAGTGCCAATTAAGCCTAAACCT